ACCTTAAAATGGGTTCAGATTGATAATGGAACAGTGTCCTTGATATATTGTGAAGTGTAAAAAACAGATTATTGAGCAGTATGTAAGGAGGAGAAAGGTATAGACAGACCTCAGAACAGACTGGTAGCTATCTTTGGGTAGTGTGTGTGTGTGGTGAATTTTAGGTTTTTCTTTGCAGTGTTCTTTATTATCTAATTTTTTCTCGATAAATAAGAAGTGCTAGAATTCATTTAAAATCGCTTTTTGAAATAAAACAAAATGGTGCCAGGCAAGCATCTTCTTTCATTCAGTAAACCTCTCTTGCCAGCCTACTCTGTTCTCAGCCCCAGCTGGGCTCTGGGGGAGTCCAGCACTGAACATGGCAGACCGAGGAGCACCTTGGTGGAGATCACAGCCACTCTGTGCTCCTGACACCTTATTCTTGGTGCAAGGCAAGTGGATTTCTTCAGGCAGCTTCTGTGTTTCCCCCAAGAGCCTCTCATCGGTTGTGTCTGCATAATTCTTACCTGGTGGGATAGGGAATAACTCACCTTTTGTGTAGTATGACAGTTGCAAGGTTGAAGCTGCTTATTCTCACTCTTTATCCTGGCTTGTTTGTTTTCTCCTGTGTCTGTCTGTTTTATCCCATTCAGAGTTTTTGCTGGTCTCCTTTGTCTTCCTAGGAGCTTGAACTTACAGAGGTTCAGTTTTTCCTTTTTATCATTTCTCTTGTTTCCTGTAAAGTTGCTGGGCTAGTTTTTGGCCACATAGATAAACAGGTTTGAAATGCCTGTCACTGGTGAATTTACCCCCAGGGCTTGCTATATCTGGGGAGGTAACATATCAGCCTGTTGGCTTATTTGGGGGAGCTAGAATCAAATAGTTTGCAAACCAGGGAGATGAGCTTTGTGTATTTGTGTTTAAGAACATTTCGAGCCCTGGCAATATACTCAATTTATTAATTCAGATGATGATTCTGAATGTTCTTAGATATAGCTAAGGATGCACTTTAAGAAATTATTAATTTGTTACCATCTTAGTCATAATTCCTTTTCTCCTTGACTTTGTCAAGGACTCTCTCATCTAGCTTCATTCACTCAGCAACTGTTTATTAAGCACCAGCTGTGAACTGAGCGTCATACTTAGTACCTGAGATAATATGGAGAAATAAGATAGATATAGTTAGTCTCTGCCTGTGCAGAACGTGTAATCAGTGGGAGAAATTGGAAGTTCTGTGTATGAACTGCTATATATGGGGAGGTTGTAGATTATAGTGTAAGACCAATGTCAGGCACCTAACCCACATTTGCGCCATCAGGGAAGGTGTCCTGGAAGAAGCTGGCCTAAGCCTCAAATTGAAGGATTATTTGGAGTTAGTCTGGGGTGGGCGAGGGCAGAAGTGTTCCTAGCAGAAAGTATATTTGTCAACATCTGGAGACTAGAAAGAGCATGTAATGTTGATAGAACCAAAAGAAACTCTGCATGGCTGGGTTTGAAGGTGGAGAGGCAAGAGATAGCTGGACAAGTGAGTCAGATTAAGCAGAACTTTGAAAATCAGGCTAAAGAGTTTAGACTGCCCAAAAAGCAGCAGGGAGCCATTAATCTCCTAATGTCGCATGATTAGCTTTGTATTTTAAAGAGAGAATTCTTATCACAACAGAGAGTTACAGAGGGGGAAGATGTGAGGCAAAGAGATCTAGTGAGAGGCTGACATAGCATCTAGGCAAGAAATAATGGTGGTCAGACTTGTACATAGTAGGGATGGTGGGAAATAGACTCAACAGATACCCTGGAGGTAGAAGTAGCAAGATTTGCCCATTGACTGGGTGCACTGGGAGTTTCGGGCTTGGCAATTTGGGTGAGTAATTAAGTGTCAGTTGGGTGGGTACCAGTCACTGAGAGAAGAAAAAATGCATAAGGCATAGGTTTGAGGTCAACTATATTAGAATTTTTTTTTCCTCTGTGGCTAATATTACTTATTCATTCATTGCCAAAATATTTACCAGTCAACCAGCATGTACATAGTATTGTGCTGTGTATCAAGAGAGATGCAGGAAAGTATAGATGCCTATAGATATTAATGCTGTAGTTGAGGTGAAAAGGTACACATTTAGTGAATGTCCACGGGGTCACCATGCTTCTACTCTCTCTAGTCTGTCTGCTCTTGTCACCTCTCTCTCCTATTCAGATACTTTCAGTGCCTGTAAGACAGGTGAATCTATCTAGTCTGGCATTCAGATTTCTAAAAAATCGTATGTCATCCTATGTTTTCTGCTTTCTTTTCATGAAGTCCTGGGTTCAATCCCTGGTTGGGGAGCTAAGATCCTGCAAGCTGCACGGTGCAGCCAAAAAAAATAAAGGCTTTAATTTTAGAATAGTAGCTCCTCAGCCCTTTTCTCTGGCATTATCATGGTCAGCAGAGCCAGTTATTTATCAAGGCAATTTCTAGATGATGGTGAGAACAACCATATGGTCTACTTAAGTGAGAATGCTTGTCTTTCTTATTCCACCAAGAGATATCAGGCCATTAAGGATGACTTACTCCCCTGGAAATTAGTGACTGATTCCTTGAGAAGAGATAATCCACCAGGCTTTGTTGTGTAGATGGAGATGTTCTGTATGAGCAAATGTACTCAGGGATCCCAGTACTGAACTCTTACAGTTTTATTTTTAAGTGACTCTACTAAAAATGGAAGCTGATATTCTTGACCAGTTTTGCTTGGAGGTGGTAAGGAATGTAACATAGGCTGTAGTGGAATTGTTTTGTCTTCCCCCTCAATAAAACATTGACCTTGCAAAGCCCAGGTTTGCAATTTATTAACGATGAAATTTATACATGTTATCCTTTGTAATGGCAAGAGACTGGTAACAACCCAAAGCCCTAACCATTAGGGATTAAATCAGTTACACTCAACCATAATGTGGTTTACTCTGCAGCCATTAAATGGAAAGAAATAGTTCAGGGTGCCTGATATTGAATGACTTTGTAGATATAGTTTAGATGAAAAAAAATCAAGGTGCACAGCAGTATATGTAATATGCATATTTGTTGGGGGAAAAAAATCAAACGAAAAGTAAGTACTTAATGCACTGAATTTTTTAAAAGAGAAAGCTAAGGTACTTTTGCATAGTTTTCTATGAGGAGAGGCATCTAGGCAGTCTAGTGTGTTTCTTATAATATTTATTAATTTTTTCCATAAAAATATCTAATAAGTACAAAAAGGAAATGAGCTTATTTAACATAAAATGTCCAGTAAATGTTCAGTAAATCTGTAACTTATTTATTGAGGATAAATTAAGGATAGAATAAGGGATAAAGTAAGGGATAGAGTAAGGACTTTTTAAAAAATTTGGTCTTACTGAATATGAAATAGGTATAAAAGAAAATTTATAACATGTGATAAGGTTTAAAAAGTATGCAACAAACAAAAGTAATCACTTCTCTCCAAAATAATGGGGAAATACCACTACATACCCACAAGGATGGCTAAAATGGAAAAAAAGACAACAGCAAATGTTGGAAGGGATAGAGAGCCACTAGAATGCTTATTTGTTGTTGGAGTGTAAAATGCTATAACTATTTTGGAAAACAGTCAGTTTTCTAAGAAGAATTAAAACATATGTCCACAAAAAACCTTGTGTAAGAATGTTCGTAGCAGCTTTATTCATGAAAGCCAACAAATAGAAACCGTCCCTGTCTGTCAAGAGAAGAATGGATGAACAACCTTGTATATTCAAAAAGAATCAAACTATTGATATGTTGAATAACATGAATGAATCTCATAAGCTTTATGCTGAGTGAAAAAAGCCAGACACAAAAGGTTATGTAATGCATTATTACATTTATATGAAATTCTGGGATAGACAAAACCAAATTGTGGTGATAGAAATCAAATCATGGTTGCTTTGGGGATTCAGAATTGACTGGGAAAGGGGCACAAGGGAACTTTCTGGGATGATGGAAAATTACTGAGGCTTCATAGGGTTGGATTACATGAGTGTATGCATTTGTGAAAATTGATCGAATGGTACACTTAAGGTTTGAGCATTTCACTGTGTGTGAAATACACCCCAATTTTTTTTATACCCCAATTTTTAAACAGTGATATTTTGGGTCTTCATTAATAGGAGCATGCATCTAGAGTTGCTAAGAAGGACAAGTTGGGGAATATTTATGTTACCCCTTCAGAGTAATTCTTTAATAGTTTTGGAGACAGTACTTAACACCAAACGCTATGTTTAGCTTGAGCTTTTTTGTCGGTTGTACAGTTGGAGGACCTATTTTCAGAATCTTGTCAGAGTTCAGGGGGCAGTATTTATAAAGAGGGAAAAGGTAGCCCTCTCAGATTGGCGCTCCAGAACTTCACATGCCATGTCTTCTGATAACCATGCTCCAGACCAGTGGGTCTCAGCTAGGAAGCTTTTTTTTCCCTCTCAGGGTATATTTGGCAATGTCCAGAGATATTTTGGGTTGTCAGCTGGTGGGAGGAGGAGGTGCTGAGCTACTGGCATCTAGTGGGTAGAAGCTGTGGAGGCTGCTAAACCCTCCACAATGCACAGGACAGCCTCCACAACAAAGAGGAGCTCATCCAAGCTGCCATTGATGCCGACTTCGAGAAACCTCGTTTTACATTTGCCCTTAATACTGAAGCTGAGTCAGTCTCAGTCCACCAGGTGCTGACTATACTCAGAGTCCAACTCAATTGTGGAAACTTGGTATTTTCACAAATTGCATATTTCTTCCCTGTCAGAAGTTAATATTAAATACTTGTAAATGTATGTAATCTTAAATTTTGAGATAAAATTCCATGCGTTAAGAGCATTTCCAAAATCCAAATTAAATCTGTTGTTTGTATTGATTGTTAAATTCTTCAGATGTGAGTTTTGTTCTTAACTTTATTTCATTAAATCTTCAAACAAATGATCTTCGTTGTCATTCTTTAGAAAATAAATTAAAAGGCTTTATTATCAAATCAGAAGGAATAAATGATAGTAATTTATCTCTTTTTCTCTCTCCACAGAATGACAGGAAGTGAATTTTTCTCTCGTTTCCCCGAACTCTATCCCTTTCTTCTCAAACAGTTGGAAACTGTAGCCAATACCGTGGACAGGTAAGAAGAGAATAGGGTGGGGCAAAGTGAAATCAAGGATGTGAATTACTTCAAGATTTTTCCCTCCAGGCAGCAATTTTTAATCAGCTCCTTCCTTGTAAACATAGATGGATTTTTTTTAAGTGCTTCTTTATTAAATACATCATGTTGCCTGACACTCTGTAGTAGATATGTACCAGAAAGGTTGTATAAAATCCGGGTTTTATATTATATTTTACATTTAAAAAATCCTATTTTTTAAAGTTTTTAGTGTTTTATAGGAGTTAGCTTTTTAGAAGCACATGGTGATTTCTTCTAAGAATCATTTTCTTCCTCTTATATTCAAAATCTGTGTGTTTACATATTGAGTTTGCTTTAACACACACCTGTCATTTTTTTTAATCACTGGCCTGTTGCAGCTGACTAATCTGGTCACTTGTGATCAGAAATGGTACTATTCTACTTGAGTGAAGATGGCCAGTGACCCTGGAAACACAAAATAATGCTATTAAGAGGGCTTCCAGTCTGATCAGAGCAGATAAAAAAGTTCACCATTGTCTTTTCAATCACATTCTGTGGCTGGTAGTATAATTTTTAGAATGGACATCTTAGAGCATGGACCATTTTATTCTTTTAGCAGTTTTTGCACTTGGCATGGATTTATACCAGTTGTCTGTAATGAGAAAATAAAATCGCATCAGTGAATTTCACTTCTGTTTATGATCCATTTCCTCACATTAGTAATTTGTGCAGACAGGCTTTTCTGGCCCTAGTAAGTGACTGTTCACGCTTTCTTAAGTACATTTGGATGTTAAAAGTTTCACATTTCATACTCTGGAATAAACACCTCTCTACTGTCTGAACAGCTGAAATCAAAACAGCAGACTCGAATTATCAAATAATATGCTTTGAGAAGAGAATCCTGTGCAAAAGCCCAATCCACGGCTTTGCCAGTAGTTCTTCCTCATTTACACACTAAGAAAATATGAAGTGAATGGAGGAAAAAACGCAAAAAGGAAAATTATTGCTGATCATAGAGTCTCACTTTATGTATCAATACATAATTATTTAATGAGAAAAACGTTTGAAGATAGTGCCTTGCCTAAAGTTTTAAACCTTTTATGTACAATAATTTTTTTTTTTCAGTGATACAGGAGAACTAAACCATCATCCCAGCATGTTTCTCTTACTTTTGGTGTTGGGGAGGCTCTACCCTTCCCCGATGGATGGCACCTGTTCTGCTCTCAGCATGGCACCTTTTATTCCCTTCATTATGAGGTAGTGTATGCCTCATGGAAATAATGGGAGTGGGCATGGGGGCTTTATGGGGCTATTTAATCCTGTTCCTATTTCAAAAATTATAGATTTTTCTTTTTTTCTTTTCTTTTTTTTTTTTTTTTTACTCTGGGAGGGTTCTTGTGAAGGCAGGGGCCTGGGATTATTGCCATTGCCCCCAACTGGTCTCCAGTGTTTCACATGGTGGGTTTAGGAGCTCATGTCTACTGTTTAAGTAGTGTTTTCTGGGAGTCCTGCCTGCTAATGGGTGTGTGGTGTTGATAGGAGATACCCCCTTTTGATAAACATAGCCTGGGTGTTTGCATTATCCCTGTGTTGAGCCTGGCCAGCATGGGGCAGGCTCAGTTCTGGCATATATCCCCTGTCCAGGGGTTCAAGAGGACACCTGGCCCTTCACTCTGGAGGAGTTTGCTGGTGGTTGCAAGGGGCAACATCTAGATGGCAATGCTGTGTAGCACGAGTTCACTTCCCACTCATCTTCCCTTTCAAGCTTGGAGGACCTGAGAAAAAGCCATGCATAAAGATTACACATGGAATCAAATGATAACAGGCTTTTCTGCTTCTACAGCCTATTACCACTTCCTCTTGTTACATTTTTTTGAGGCATTCGCCAGCTTCTGATCACCTTTTTCATTTTGGATCAAAGGCCTCAATAAACAGGCCTCCAAAAAATATTGAAATTTTCTTATGAAATATTTCAGAAAACCTGTGATATTAGTTAGCTTTTACCTTTCTGCTTACCTCTTGACAAAATAGTACCTTCATTTTTATGTATCTACCAAAAATTGAAATACAGCAGAAGGATAAAATATAACCAACTCAAGAGAGTGTACTTGTTATTTATGTGGTGTCCTGGGTTCCACTTCCTGGTTTCACAGAGCTGACTGATGCATTTTAATGTGAGAAACCATTAAACACAAGATTCTGGTGTGTGATTGCTGTAGCCATTTGTTTGCGCCAAGCCCTGGCTGTGGCTGTGTTATCTGTGATCACAGAGATGACTCACTCAGATTGGTTTTTGTTTCCTGATACACAGAGTTACCAGCCTCCCGTATCCAGCATTTGGTGATTCATTTTAGGAATTTGGGTCATAAATTTAACTTTCAGGAGCATTTAAAAATTGTACTTTCACATATAACTGGAAAGAACTAAAAAATAATTGAGAAAGTTGATGGCTGGGGGAGGCACATATACAGAATCACAGTGTACATTAGAAACAAAGACACGCTTTAGAACTTTATCGTCCTGTGTTGAGAACATCCAATTTGTGGAAGCTTATTTCTTTTTTCTTTTTTTTTTGGTTGGGGGGGGTACGCAGGCCTCTCACTGTTGTGGCCTCTCCTGTTGCGGAGCACAGGCTCCGGGCGCGCAGGCTCAGCGGCCATGGCTCATGGCCCCAGCCGCTCCACGGCATGTGGGATCCTCCCAGACTGGGGCACGAACCCGCGTCCCCTGCATCGGCAGGCGGACTCTCAACCACTGCGCCACCAGGGAAGCCCTGTGGAAGCTTATTTCTAATCAATCTGATATGTGTTACATCCTAGAAACCAGAAGTTACTACGTTGAAAGTATCCTTCCTGTTATTTATTAGTTTACACATAATCAGAAAGCTCATATTACTAATTATACTCAGAGCACTTATTACATATACAGAGATCGCGTGAACATAGGAGATTTAAATATTGCCTTAAGGCTAATGTACTTAGTGCATCTTCTTTTTCTTAACTCAGAAACACAAAGAAAGAAATGTACAGTTCTCCTGTCCTTCCAGTGAAAATGCCTTAATCATTGGTTGCTTTCTACTTAAATAAAGATTCATAGAGCGCCACCAGCAGCAAAAGTGCCATAGCGGATTCCTTAGAGTGTCTGTAGGCTCTGGTTTATTGAATGTCCGAGTATGTCATAGGCAGTGTTTCTCAAACTTTAAGATGTAAACATATCACTTGGGGGGTCTCATAAATTCTGATTCATTAGGTCTGGGGTGGGGCCTGAGGTTCTGCATTTCACACAGACTTCTAGGTAATGCTGAGGCTGCTGGTCTGCAGATCACACATTGAGTAGCAAGATTAAATTTGAGATATCAAACATTATCAGAACCACACACGTACAGAGAGATGATTTTAATAAAACTATACAGTAGTAGGATCATACTTGGAACTTGGTTAGGCTGTCCGGGAGGTTTATTAGAAGTAGCTTTTGACCCAGGAATTCAGAGAACAAGCAAGAAAATATTCTGAGCAGAGAATTCAGTAGGAAGTAGACCAACCTTGTTGAGTCTCCACTGTTTGCCAGGCACTGAACTGGGCGTTTTGCTTAACAATGACAATGAGAGGAGGTGTTACACCTCTCTTTACCTGTTGAGGAAACTGAGGTTCAGAAAGCGACTCAGTTATAGAGTTGGAATATGAACCCAAGACTGTAGGGCTTGTCAAGAGTGTTGGGTATCCTCTTTCTATTACACTAAAATATCCAACTCCCTTTTGTGTAGTTAAGGGTTTTGACTACACTGAGTAGCCCCAAAGGCCCTGAAATTTATGCAACTAGGAGCGATTAGGAGCCTGTATCTAGGCAGTGGATCCAAGTGCAGGCTATTTTCACGATGTAGAAGTCATGCCCCACTTGCAGTGGGGTCTGCTCCTGACCTTGCTTTTCCAGTGGTGGCAGTGGCTTGATTGGGTGCAGGCTTTCTCTCAGGCTTACATCTGTGGGATCATTGCTTGGGGTAATTGGGGCCAGTCTGTGGCCTGGGATAGAAGAAGCCTGGCTTTTCTTTCTTGAAAAGAAAGTACAAAGATCCTAGATTTAGAGTTAGAAAACCCAGTTTTGGGTTTCATCAACCTACTGCCAGGACAACCATGTGCTACCCTAAAATGTTCACAGTCACACCAGAGAGATGAACTATATAAAAGATTTTTTTAAAATAGTGAATTTGGTAAAACTATACCCATTAGATTTAAAATACTTCTGAGAAAATTATTCATGAAGAAAGTGAAAGATTGATCATAAAAACCTGCCAATCCAGGCAGTGTTTGTGGTTCTAATCATGGTAAAGATTAGGCTCTCTTGACCTCGGATAATGGCTGAAAAGACGGATGTATGCACAAGTGGATGGGCAGTGTTTTATTTTTGTGGCATTGCTAGTATTAATTTACGTACTTGGAAGACAGGCTCTTGGATACTCTGAGTTTAGCTAAAGCAAAATTTTTCAGCTAGTGGGAGTAGCACAGAGGTTGCTCTGACTGTGCTAAAGTGAATCAATTGTACAATGAGAAGATTTAAAAGCCCTGATGAGGGCTTCCCTGGTGGTGCAGTGGTTGAGAGTCTGCTTGCCGATGCAAGGGACACAGGTTCGTGCCCCGGTCCGGGAAGATCCCACATGCCGCGGAGCAGCTGGGCCTGTGAGCCTGTGCTCCACAATGGGAGAGGCCACAACAGTGAGAGGCCCGCGTACCGCAAAAAAAAATAATGATAAAATAAAAATAAAAATAAAAAAAAATAAAAGCCCTGATGACAGCTTTTTATTTCCCTTTGATTTACATATACTTACCTGCCATTTCCTTCCTCTCTGTGAGGTGTTAGGAAGTATTATTTGTACCTTTGTCCCTTATTCCACATTTGGGAATCCAAGCTTATATCTCTGTTGCCTTTCTTTGTTAACTTAAATCTTAGAAGCTTCTGATGTGGATCTTCCACAGTTATGTGTGTGCACAGCTATGATTTGTTGCATCATCTTGGAACAGAAATGATCATGTTAATCCCAGAGTTTTGTTTACAAGGTTTTTTTCAAATCGAGTATATTTTATGTGCCTAATGCTGTGCTGGATCCAGATACACAGCCCTCTTCCATGCAGAGATGATGCCTTCAATTTAAGGCTATTCACCCCCTTCAGTTCAGACACCACAGAGCAGAGTGACACATGCTTTAAAAGGGACCCTGACACTAGCTCCCTGATTACGGTTCACTAGTGCCCACGTGTCCGGGGCTTTCTAGAGACCAGAATATCTCTGGACACACACCTTGGAATTCCCTTTCACAAGCAAGCTTCAAGTTTGAATTGACGAGCTGTAGGAAACCAAAAATACCTCAAACCTCGGCAATCCTGAAGAGAACAAAGGCCCTGGACTCAAGAGACTTGGTTCTTTCTAAGCTCTGCCACTTATTCACTAGCTGTGATGCTTGAGCAAGGTTCTGTACCCTCCTTGGACCAGTGTGGTACCTGTGTGTGTGAGGCAAAAAGTGCCTTCTATTGCGGATAACTGAGGTCTCCGCGTCAGATTAAATCCCTCTACTGCCTTTTGTTCACTCTGGGATGCTTTTAAGAGGATCTCCCCACCCTCCCCCCTTTTTGACTTATTTTCATTGCAAATGACTTTTGGTATGTTTTTCTCCAAATCATTTCAATCATTGTTCACTTTAGGTAAATTTTCAGTGAAATCTGCCTTTCTGTTTTGTGAAAAATTTTGAGGTACAAATAACCATACAATCTTAATTAAACACGTGGCAGTGGAAATCACCCATAGCGACCTATGTATGCAATGGAAACTGTTTTAGTTGCGATATTGAAACATCTAGTCAACAATCAAAACAAAAATTGGAAAATATGCATTTTATGATTTTTTAAATATTTCATGGAACCTTTTGATTGTACCAGTCTTAAGAAGAAGGGAGGGGTAGGGGGTACAAAAACTAAGACTTAGGCCTTTTAAGCCTATGATATTGGAAAATAATATTGACTTGTTTTCTTTTCCTTGAAAGTTGCATAATGCAAGAATTATCACCTTACTCCTTACCCAGGTTATGAAGTTGAAAGATCTTACTTGCCATCGTGTAGAGTTGGAGTTTTTGCAGTAGACAGTAGTTGGCTTCCACCTTCATTTGTGATTGTAATACCAGGAACTTTCCTCCAAGGTTGCACATTTCTATCTGTTCTGTCTTCCCAGAATCCTCGCGATAAGTAGAAGGCAGGATTTGCTTTATAGAGAAAG